TTTTGCGTCCTTGCAGAGAGCGCTGAATGCTGCTTGTGCTGCCCGGGATCGATTCGGTCGCCGGATCAACCCCCGGAGCAAGAACGAGTCGGTTCCTGAAGAAGAAGAGGAAGAGGAAGAGGAAGAAGCAGTGTCCCCTGGATCAATGCCACCGCCAAAAACGGTCACTCCAGCTAGTGACCATGGAAATCTTGCCAACATAAACTCCTCCTTTTCGGGCTGGTCGGGTATCAAGGAAGAACCAGCTTCGTGGGGATCCGGCGAGCACAATGAGAATGTGGGATATAGCACCACAGAGCAGACCCAATATTCCAATTGCCACCAACCAATGGCGGAAATGTCGAACCCTTCCCACTCTATGCAGCATAACTTGGACGTCTACTCGAACCACCTGCCCTCTCACAGGGAAGAATGGTCTGAGGACAGGGAATCACGACACAACAACCTTGTCTACGGAGACATGCAATATCCGATGTCCATGCAGGCACCAGACATCTCGGTCACACGTCGTGAGTCTTCTGATGCGCTGACTGCCTCATTGGAGGGCATCGGAATCTGTACTACCGGCCAATCTGGGCTGTCTCAATCTGTCGATCGGGTAGAAGCAGCTTGCTGGAAAGAGCCCGGTAAGGAGCTCGACCTTGCTGCACGCCGCAAGCGCCCTCGCCCCGCTGCCATTGGCACCTCAGGAACTCGCCCTTTGGCTAACTCGACCTCGATGTCCTCGCTCTCGCCTACCGCTCGTATGCCTAACTCCGGTGCCGGCAACTCGATGAGACAATCCAAGTCAACTCAAAGCCTCAACTCCCGGTATGCCGGTGTGAGAAAGGCGTCGGCTGCCCAACGGTCTCCACTCAATTTCACTTTTGCGGATTCCGGCTCTATCAAGAAGGCCGAGAAGATGCTGCGACCTTCGGTCTCGACCACTAGCCTAGCTCCACCAACTCCCTTGACCCCGCAAGACCTCCAGCATTTCATGCCTGCCTCCCCCACGGATAGCAACTACTGCTTGTCGGCCCACTCCACAGCCCACTTCTTCCCTACCTCTCAACCCATGCAGGTCAACATGGCATCACCTCCTGCTACACCACTGGATATTTACTCCCCCTTCCCTTACCAAAACGTCGCCCCGCCGATGTCAGCTCCGGCTCATGTATCTTCCTTCCCTGAGTATATCACATGTGACTCTGTTCCCATGCCAGCCCGCAGCTGGGCCGACACTGCTTCCATATCTTCGCCCGAGTACCCGTCGGGTCTCCAGGTACCGCACTCGACCACCGTCTCGCCCATGGGCTATAACGCGACCACCGACCACACCGGACAGGCCTTTGGCATGGAATCGGTCTCTGGCTCCCCGTCTTTGATCTATTCGATCGAAGATACCGACATGCCAGGCTCTGCCGAGCTCGCAGAGAGGAAGCGCCCTGAATTTATGATGCATGAATTCCCAGAGCACGATACCAACTTTGGTGGCCATCACTTGCCATCGATGCAGAAGCCGAAAGCCTACACGTTCGCGAACAACACGACGCCGAGTAACTACCCTTCCTAGGGGCAGGGTCCGTTGATCTTTCCCTCACTATGGATGTATGAGAAATACGCGTCAACTTTCGGTGTTTTTGGTCTGGGACGAGTTCACTTCGCAAATTTTTCGCTTTCACCTTCTTTTTCCTACACTTTCCCTTATAAGGGAGATGTTGTCTACCCAACCATCCGTGCGCGGAGAAGCACTGTCACTTTATGTCTTCTATATACTTTTTTTTTTCGTGTCTCTTTATTTGGGGGTGTATTTACCGTGTTTTTACATATTTGGAGCATTCCTTGCATGTTGATTATTGGCCTGGGATTTATTTATTTGTTATTTTTGGTGTCTGATAGGACCTTTTAATTTCCGCCGGGCTCCCTCACGGGAACCTCGAGACCTTTTTTTATCTTCTACTTTGATTATGTTTATTTGTCTTTGTCTTTGACCTCTTTTTTACACCCGTGATTTGGAATCGGGTTTTTGTGGATGGGATTTGGACTTGGGTTTGCATATGGCTTCAGCATTCGACTTATTTTGACATTTTCCATGATACATACATTTTTTTACGTATCTATACTATCTCATATCTCTCAATCAAAAAAGGGGTTGGTCTCTTACATTTTCTGGCACTTGTCCGAAGTAAATCTCCGAGAACAAAATAATGATCCACCAGCAAACGGACTTGCCCTTTCTGGCTCGCTCGTAGGAATACATATTCCGGACATATATTATTCCACATTGTGTGGAGTCCATACTCCGTACTCCGTACGTCGTACAATCATGGATACAGCACGTGCGCCAGACCATAGGTTGTCGTCCGGAACCGTCTGGAACGCACTTGCAGCAACCTTAAGCACCACGTGCGCTACCTAGGTAGTCTTCCAAGGTTGATACCTGAATATAAAAGGAAGATATTTGTCGATCTCATCTTAACAGAGAAGAAAGAAAAACAACACAAAATTGTTTATTGAAACATTGGAGTTGAAACCCGTGTATCTCCGTTTTCAAATGAGACTCTCCATCCTCGTTTCAGCCCTTGTGGGCCTAGCTGTCGTGCAGGCATCCGCTATCAATTACTCTGCAGTCACAGGCTACTTTCTGCAGGATGAGGAGTCGACTGATGCCTCTACATTTGACTATGTAAGTGAACCGCAAATTGAGCCGAATTAATAATATTTTTACTTCACAAACTATCCCTTTGTCGATGCCTTAACTGGTCATTGATTCGGTCCACTAACATGTTCAGACGGCGGAGAACTTCGGCCTGATTGGCCGCACATATCCCGCAGACAAGGAGAACAAGAAACACGAGTCTCTAACCCAATGGGAGCGCTTCCATAACCAGGTCACCGAGTTGAATGATCAATCTCCCCCGCACATCGAGTACAAGGTTCTGTTCCTTGGTCGACATGGGGAAGGGTGGCACAATGCTGCCGAGACCTACTATGGCACCCCAGCGTGGAACGTAAGTTCCTCCATACCACCTTAACCTTGCGCTAGGATCAACCTAACTATCTCCATTCAGTGCTACTGGTCCGAACTGGATGGTAACAGCACAGCAAGCTGGGCAGACGCCACCCTCACACCCGGCGGTATCACCCAAGCGCTCAAAGCAAACGAGTTCTGGCAAAAAGAGATAAAGGAACAACGAATCCACACACCAGACCACTACTACGTCAGCCCACTGACACGCACCCTGCAAACCGCCAACCTAACATTCGGGAACCTGGATCTACCCAAGCACGGCGCGCACTTCAAGCCGACCATCAAGGAACTCTTCCGCGAAGGTATCAGCGTGCACACCTGCGACCACCGCCGTGATCGCAGCTACATTCACGACCTGTTCCCGCACTGGACCATTGAGCACGGGTTCACCGAGGTGGATGAGCTGTGGAATGGCGTTACTGGTGAGACCAGTGGCGCACAGGATGTTCGGAGTGCCGAAGCATTGGGGGATGTTTTCTTTACTTTGTCCAAGAAGGAGTCGTTTGTGTCGATTACGTCACATTCGGGTGAAATCTCGTCTATTCTAAGGGTTATTGGTCACCGGACCTTCAAGTTGAATACCGGTGCCGTTATTCCGGTGTTGGTCAAGGCTGAGAAACTCGGATGCAAGGCCCCCGTCACATCTTCTGTGCCTTGGGAGGTGAGCCCGCATTGCACAGAGCCACCGGTTTCATCGGCTACGGCTTGTGTTTGTCCTTCCGGTGCGGCGCCTGTTGCGACGCCTTTGGCTACCGGGTTTTAGGGGGTCTAGGTTAGGTAGATTAGCTAAATGCTTTTTCTTGTGCCGGATAGACCCAGCTTACATTCAAACGAAGGGCTTTGTGGTGACATTTGACACTACCAAGGAAAAACAAACATATGCAATACAAGTAATTGGCCCCTTATGCGGCCTCTGCCATTCCATGGTTCCAATTGGTGACTAATCCATTTGGCTTAACATCCATATCATACTAACTAGTATGAGGACCATGATATTCAATTCCAAGATGCCCTCCAGATAGATGTCTTTTAAATATCTTCTGTAACATCTTGGTGTTTCTTCAATGTCTATTCAAATCTGCTATCGAATATCTCTGGGAATATCCCATCTCTTGGTATTTATCCTACCCTAGCCTAGGCCCTTGTGTGGCAAAAAAAAGGTACAAATTGCCACAGGTCATAAATGACCGATAGATAGCAAGTAAAAAGAAGAAAAAAGAAACGTCCCCGGGAAGGCTTGAACTTCCAACCTCCCGATTAACAGTCGGACGCGCTAACCGATTGCGCCACGGAGACTTGATTGTGGGTAATCTCAGTGCCGGTGGCTTCATTAGTGGATTCTGGAACAATGGCTTTCTGTTGGTTACTACTGAGAGTATGAATTGGATAGATCAACACAGTGCCGTATCTATAACGGTTAATAGTTATGGGATTGGCATAATTGATAAACCGACCGAGAGTGACAACTGCATTGTTGTGAAAATGACATTGGGAAGAGTGAAAACCTTGGAACTCCATGAGGCTCTTGATAGGTGGGGCATTTTTCTCCGTACTTTCTTGTGATTGGTCAAACAATTTATGTGGTTCATTATGATTGGTCAATCCTTTAAAGTGTGAGTGACACAGTGCAGGTAGGGCTGTTTGCTCAGGTAAGTCCCGGTTAGGCGCAGTACCATGTCCTTCCAACATGTGCTTCTTCCTCGTACACCGACTTCTTCCTTGTACACCGACTTACTTTACCTGCGGATAGTTTCATTTTCTAAGCGGAATAGGATGGCATCTATCATAGTGTATCAGCACTCTACTTGCCTCAGGCCTAGTACCGCCCCGTGCCTCAGGTCCGCCCGGTCCCTCATAACAAACTCAGATTCATCACAACAAACCACTACTGCTTTGTTTACTATTCATAAAGCATCTTCGTGGACGGCCTTGGTAAACCCGCTTATTCGTATCGCGTTCTTGCTGCTTCTTCTCGGGTTTAATTACAGAAATGAATCCATCACAGGCGCAAGGCCCGCCCTCATCGCGGGTCTCTGCGATGACCTTGGACAGTTCACCATCGGTGCAGCTGGCCGCGATGGCCCTGAACAGCTCGCGCCTTATGCAGGCTCTACGTGATGCTGGTCCTACTAGTGCTCCTGGTAGGGCTTCCTCTTCCTACACCTCTTTGTTTGGTGGCACCTCCACTCGCAGGACTCCCCGCTTGACTGAAAGTCCTTCCCCCACTCCGACGCTTTCCAACACGCCGTCCTCGCTCAACAGACGCGTATCTGGAAACTCGAATTATTCTTCTTCGCGAACAACTTCTAATAACGTGCAGTCTGGTGAAACCTCTGGCAACTTCCGGTACTTGGTACGAGAGCCATCGCTCCCGTATGAGGCTTGGGAAACAGTAAGTACTACACCGGGTCAAATCAATGGGGCTTAAACCAGGCTAACTTTATATCAGGTCTTCTATGCCACCCTTACTAGTCTCACAAGTGAGGAACTTGACTTCATTTATGACGATGACTTGGAACACCCGGCGAGCAAAAAGACCCTTTCGACCTTGAGACTGGTGAACCGAATCTGGAACCGGGTTGCGACCCCTCTCCTTTTTAGATACATCCAGGCAGTTGTCGGATACTCTGCTGGTCGACCTCTCGATAGCATTCTGAAGATTTCTGAAAGCCCATACGCCCTTTATGTGCGCGACGTGCACTTTGGTTTCGTGGGATCATGGCTACCCGGACTGGATTATGATCGATACATCGACGACCTGGCAGCAGGAGCTCTTCCGGTCCTGATCAGTCGTTTCCAAAACATCCAAACATTCCGATTGCAGTCCCCTACTGTTGTGGACACGTTCAGTAAGGAAGGACAAATGACGCCACTGATGCTTTCCAAGCTAACAAGCTCCCTTGTGAACACTTTACGCTTTGTGTCTGTCCCGAGACTGAGGTGTCTCCATCTGTCTTTGCCAACCACCGCGGAATTTGCTCGTTTCTTCGAGTCGAGCGGCTACGCTAGGGACTTCACCGACATTTTCGGTGAGATCGAAGAGCTACACATCACTATTAATGACAGCACTGGCTCTGATGGCAGAAGACATCCGAAATGGCCCCGCTCGGTGATCAAGACCAGGTATCCACTCGATCCATTTGCTCCATATCTCATCCAACTTATCTCCCATGCAAAACGGCTCAAGGTCTTCAACCTGGAATCCCGTGCCTGGTTTGATGTGTCTGATCTGAAAGCAGATGCTTTCTCTAGACTGAAAAGCTTCCGGCTTGAAGGTGTGAGAATCAAGCATGAAACCCTCAAGAAGATTTTCATACAAGCTCACGATGAGCTGCGTCGCGTTCAATTGACCGACATTCGGCTCATGACGGGTACCTGGGAGAGTGTCTTTGGTGGTCATACGGCGCTTCCTCCTTGTAAACTCTCCTGGCTTAGTGTTGAAGGATGCGGCTACTCGAGGACTGGGACCAGTGCCCAGCACATCGGTTATTCATTATCGCACCCAGCAGCATTCTCGACCATGCATGGCCCGGACTGGTTGACTTATGCAGAGTGGAAATCATTGGTGAATGCAAACCGTTGTCGCAGGGAAATGCCTAAATGTATGTATTGTAGTTTCCCACCGCCTCACCAACCCACGGTCCCTTAATCGAGGGATACATAGTTAGCGGGCAAGCTTTACAGGACAAAGAGGTCACGGGGGCGATTTCATGATTTGTGACTGCTGTTCTTATTTCTGGGCTTACTGCTGCGAAGAAGTTTCCGAGATGATTGAGGCTTTCCCTTGAGGCTTTCCCTTGAGGTGTCTACCTACCTGACAACTGGCTATGGAGTACCGTACTCCGCTTTTACCTGGTCGTCAAGGTCTCCAGGAATGTATGTATGAATTTTCTCTTCACTCTACGTCTGGTTGTCTTGATCTCTCTTGATCTCCAGACGTGGCACGTGTATTTTCTTTTTCTTTTATTCTATTTCTTTTTCTTTGATTCCATTTTTCTTTTCTTTTTTCACGGATTATTCCTTTCTTATATTGGTAGGTGGGTTTGCGGTATCAGAGAGTGGTGGTTCGAGCGCAGAGCTATTTAAAACTGCGAGTAATAGAAGCTATTTAATTACTACATAATTTAGTAAATAATTAGTTAATTACCTACATAGGTACCCAAGTAGTTGGTTATTTAAACACATAGTTAGTTACATAGTTACTTCAGGGTAGAGAAGGGAGCCTGGCTCTGCAAAGTTCGGGAGAATGCGTGGAGTAGATCTCACCCATTTCAATCCCTTGGGAATTTAGAACCTAATGGGTTCAAGCTCTTTCTTATTCCGTTCGTTTTTGTCCTTCCGTCAATATTCCTTCCGTCAATATCTACAACCCACCATCGATCTTATATGAGGTGATTCCCTTTATATATCATAGAAGTGGGTTGCTCTTTATCAAATAAGTCTCCGTGGCGCAATAGGTTAGCGCGTCCGACTGTTAATCGGGAGGTTGGAAGTTCAAGCCTTCCCGGGGACGTTTGCTTTTTAGACTTTTTATAAATTTTATAAAATCTATTTAATTCATTTACAGGAAGGAGGAGGACGTACGTCTTTATATCTTGTGGTTTATTTTTTTTAAAAAAGGAGTTCGGATCATAAAATGGTGGGTAGAGGTTCATTTAAACTCCAAGTCGAACTTTATTTGTTACACTACACCAGGTGTATCCATGGATGCACATAGCCTTTCTTTATCGGGTAATGTATTAGAGGTTTTATTTCAGTCGAGATCATAATGGGATGTTATGTATGTCTCGATCATTTTTAAGAGATAAGGGGAAATATATATACTCTTGATGCTGGTAGGGTCTGACTACGGAATATCGAAAATAGAGAGAACCCGATTGACTACTGCCAGGTAATTAATCTATGGCTATAGTATTATGGTGCCAGATGATCTCGATTTGTATACTAGATACGCTATTTCTGTATTGCTCTGCTCGATGTCTGGTATTAGGTCTTAGTGGGCTCCGGTTATTCAGATGCGCTAAACAGTAACTGGCGATAATGGGGCTTACTTGATGTTAACTGTGGATGTGACAGACAACAGGCACTTAGGTAGTCTATGGTGTTTCCATTCCGCTTCTATTGTATTACTCGAGGCATATGTGTATAAGTATTAGTTTCTTATAGTAGGCGAATGGTGCCCTTGATACCGGTTCGGATTGTTCTGATTTGGATAAGTATTGTTATCTTGGTTTATCTGGTTTAGGTCGTAGTGGTAGTAACAACCCAGTCCACCTAGGATCTAATTTAGGGCCCCTGGTTTTCTATATATATAAAAGGTCCTCTAGGATAAGAAAGCAGATTTAGTGGCACTCGAGCAGATACCACTGGATTTAAGGTTTATTAGGTATAGGTTACTTTTGCTCTTACGGCTTAATATAGTCAGTCCCCTTTAGCCGGTCAACTTTTATTGTTGCTTGCCTCTATATCCTGATATGTCTTGGTACTGATATCCTTACTTGATATATATAGTATATGTATAACTCCGATAGGTATAAACTATGTCTAGTGACTGATTGGTTAGCTACGGAGTTCGGGTCTAACGAAGCCCTTTCCTATAGAGGGGTGGGGATCTGTCGTGTGTCTATTAGTGGTATCTTTTGCCTTTTTTTTTCGCTGTGTAGGCTGTGTTCGTGTGGCATTTGATAGCCATGGTGATCAAGGGATACTGTCTGACAAGACAGCACAGTGACATATATATATCTTCATGGGGATAATGACTTAAAACCAAAAGTTACCTTTATTTTGCCGTTTGCGCTTGGAAATAAAGATGTATTCATATGCGATAGGAGATTTAAACTATTTCATAATTGTTAGATAAAGGAATTTGAATTTGTGTATGATACCATGCTACAATATTAGAGTTGTTGGCTAATGGTAAGGACATAGTAGTAGGAACTTGCTTATAGTTACAAAACTTTATAGGTCTCTTATCAAATAAGTCTCCGTGGCGCAATCGGTTAGCGCGTCCGACTGTTAATCGGGAGGTTGGAAGTTCAAGCCTTCCCGGGGACGTTTGTATTTTTTTTTTTTGGTTCCGTTCCGAGGCTCCTTTCCGTTCTTGACCATGGATGACTTCAGTTTGTTACACCCCATATATATATATATATATATCAATCAGTGTACCAGGAAACGGCAATAAAACGAGATAAAAACCTAGCAATGAATCGTTGATGTTATTTTCGATGGAGCACTCTATCAAACCGTCTATCTAGGTCTAACTACAAGGAACGCTCGCGATCAACTTGAAACTAGCAAAGTAGGTAGTATATATGAGAAAGAAAACACCCACATAAGGTGGAAATCCCATTTCAATTGAAACCGGCAGAAGGAATAAAGTGCAGAGAGCAGTGGAGACTAAGTACATCGAGAAGAGAAAGTGTCACCTCACAGGTATACATGATTGACAAGAACGAAGCCGCAAAAGAATTGATACAGAGGCAAGTAAAATGGGATTTAAAAACAAGAATAGAAGCCGAATACATAGTGCTAAGCAGATGCAAGTAAACAAGGGTCACATATTTCTTTGAACAGCCAAGAGACGATTAGACATCTCGGCCAAGGCACAAGAAAACTAGACTGTCCACAATTCACCCTCTATCGACCATGTACAAGAAACAGAACAAAAACATACATACTCATAATCCTGTAACACTGTCCAAAAGGGTAGAATAAACGCCGAGTACAAGGACCCAACGCCAGTAAAGACACACTAAGAAAACAAGAAGGAAAGAAGAATAAGTAAACAAAGAAATAGGTACCTCGACTAAGTACAACTCAACAAAGGGTATAGGAAGATTGATTGGCCCAGATTAACATTAACCGAACATCGTTCTCCATGTGATGCAGCGAAGAATGCAGTAGAACACTGGAACAGTGGAAAAAGGAGAATATGAATGAAAGCATGTGGCGAAAGTGAAGAACAGTAATCATCAGATGATAGTGTAAAAGCTGGTAAAAAGAAAACGCCAATCTAGATAACGCCGGCCACCGCAGGCTAGTACGACCACCCACCTCCTAAGGGGCTGCCAGACTGGCCGGGTTGAGGTTGTCCGGGTTGCATGGGGCCACCAGGTCCGGTAGGCCATCCAGGCATACCATTGCCTGCCATATTCATTGCAAGTCCCGCCTGTTGAGGGTTTCCACCCATGAAGGGCTGGCCACCATGAGCCTGATTGGGCGGGTACATGGGTCGTGCCATGCCCGGATAGCCGGCCGGGTTGGCTCCCGGATATCCCATGCCCTGCATACCCTGAGCCTGTGCCGCTTGGGGGTGTTGCATTTGAGAATATTGCTGGGGCATCTGAGGTATTGACTGTCGCTGTTGGTTGCGGGGGGACTGGTGATGCTGTTGCTGCTGAGGATGATGCCCGAGGGGGAGATGGGGTCTGTTGCGGAGCTGCAGACATTTGTTGACCATACTGAGACATTCCAACGCCCTGGTGGCCTGACGACGGTAACGGGGACGGCTGTGGCTGCGGGGGTGGCTGTCCCCATACCTGCTGCTGTTGCGGTGAATATCCATATGGAGGAGCTTGGCCCATACCGCCACCCATGGATGGGTTGGGCCGCTGTTGCATAAGAGCGGGCTGCATGGTTGGTGGAATTCTCATGGGAGACTGTCCAACGGATTGTGGATGAGGTTGTTGGGGGTAGCCTGGTTGCCCACCCATCATTGGATTAGGTTGCATGGGAACCTGCTGAGGGAGCATATGCTGCGTATGAGCGGGATTTGGGATCCCCGCCGAGGGAACCTGTGATACCTGAACAGGCTGTGACACAGATAAACCCGATTCAAGAGCAGTATTAGACTGGGTCTCTGAGACTGGGGCCTCGCGGGGCTTAGAGTAAAATTCATCCAAGCCCTTTTGGCGGAAACTGCGCTGAATGCTCAACATTTTGTTGAAATCAGATGTGTGTTGCGCTTGGTTCATGAGGTCGGCTGCTGAGCTAGTTTGTGTGCGGTCGTGGTAAGGTTGTCCGGTCAATTCCTGGCGTGCACGAGACATGACAGTGTAATCCCGTAGCCGCGGGTCATCCGTTGTCGACATATGGATCATGGGAAGTGGAGCTAGGGGGATGGAAGATTCAGAAGCATCCAGCGAGAGCCCGTTAGGCAAGGGCTCGATGGCATTACTGTAGACAACATCGTTGTGAGGTAGCGCCGGCAACAGGTTTGTGGCAGGCTCTGAGACAGAACCATCCCGAGCCTTAGCCGCCCCAGGGCGTTTCTCACCTGCGAGGTCATCCTCAGTAAAGCCCTGCTTCCTAGCCTTGGTCTCCCAGTAGTCATCTCGAACCCGTCGGCCATTCACAATCACCCGGCTCCCGAACTGTCGGAACATGGATCTGGCGGATACGATAGCGATTTGGCGGGACCGATAGGAATATGGTAGGATATCTTGCTGGATAAGATCGTCTTTCTCGATTTGCGAAGCAATGATTTTATGCAACGATCGGTTCTTATTGAACAAAAGATATGAATCCCGATAATTCAATACCCTTGCACACTCCGTCGCAAGCATGAATAGCTTGCTTCCACGGAGGGGGACACGGAATGTCCGGCATTTATACTCACGGCCACCTTGCGGATATCCCATGGGATCTGCC